GGTGGGTCTCTGAGTTCCAGGCCAGCCTGGTCTACAAGAGCTAGTTCCAGGACAGGAACCAAAGCTACACAGAGAAACCCTGTCTCGAAAAACAAACAAAAAAAAAAAAAAAAAAAAGGAAAGAAAGAAAGAAAATTAATCCAGGGTCATGTGCTACATTTTTTTTTACTTCAACTCTCTAAGAGTATGTCTATCTGCTGATCAACTTTAAAACAAACAGAAAACGACTCTTTCAGAGTCCTGCGCAACGTCAACACCAGTAATTTCAGCAGAATTGCAAACTCGAGTTGGAGGATAGCCTGGGATTAAATAGGAAAATACTGCGTATGGTGGCAGAGGGGAGACAGAGTTGACCCCAACACGAGGCTAATCTGGGCTACACAGTTCCACGCTGGTCAGAGTTACATTGAGAGACCCTGGCTAAAAAAGTCAAAAAACAAAGCCGTTTTGGAAAACGTCGTTAGTTCTAGAAACTCCAAATCGCACATATATTTCCTTTAGTGGACATTTACACGACTCCCACTAGTTGAGTAACTAAGTATCTTGAATCTATATCTTCAAGCCCATTTCATGAAACAGCAGAGAAGAAACCTAACTGAGTTGTTTTTCCAGCTTTCTAGGAAAGGTCCCTGGGTAACCACGGAAAAGCTAATGAAATGCCGTGGTTGTGGGGGTGCGGAAATGAGGTGGGCGTCTGGGGGCTCCGACTAAAGCAATGGTGGTAGGCAGCTGTACTTTAAGGAAAAGGAGAGCAGGGAGGGTGGGCGTGGCATATTTTCAGTAAACACTGACCTATACTGGGAAGAGAGGAACTGAGGCAAACACATTGCGCGAGCTTGTTAAGATGCTCGTTGATATGTATTATTTATCAGAAAGGCCAGATGCCGCCTCCTCAAGAATATGATCTTCTTTAGCATACATACTGCATTTTCACATCTTAGGGTTCCTTTGTAATCTCCCACCTCCTGGCTAAACAGAAACAAGAGGAAGGGCCAAGCTTTAAAGCCACCAAAATTTCAACACTCTACACGGAAAACTACAAGTCCCAAGATGCAACGTCACGTCGGATTAAACCCTAACAGTAACTTAGTAAGAAACTACATATCCCAGAATGCATCGCTGCCCCCACCGTTTCAGCGCTTCAGGGCAGAAATTGGATCAGGAGGGCGCTGCATTCTGGGAATCCAGAAGCCCTGGAATCTCATTGGTTGAGGTTTGCTAACGCTAGCCCTTAAATTGGGCTGCATTACTGAAGAAAGGGCGAGAACGACAACGCACTTCCTCCAGACGGAGCCGTGAGTCGACCGCGTCTCCGCCTCGCCAGGTACCTATCTCCCGCGCGTTGCAGAAAGCGGCTGTGACGCGACGGAAGTAATTCCTTCCCGTGCCCCGGAACCCACGGGGGTAGGCAGCTGGGGTGGGGGGGCGGCCCTGAATAGGGGCTGTGGCGGTACGCGGGGACACGGCTGCGGCGGCTGCAGGACTGGCCAGTGAGTGTCGGGCTGGGGTGGGAACGGGGCTCTGTTTTCGCTCGGAGAGCTAGGGCAGCTGCGCCTGGGTGCATTGGCCACCCCTCTGCTCACCCCTTCCCGTCTGGGCGGGGAAGGGACGGAAGCCCTGAGCCGCCCCGGCCTCCCCAGCTCCGGGTTTGGGGGGAGGGGAGGGGAGTTTGGCGGGACCTTAACTAGCTCAGCCCGGGGGCTTTGGAAAGTGGAGGCAGGACCGTCGGTGGGGGCGAGCTAGGCCTTCTCCGGGCCGAGCGCGGGGAGGGTGGAGTTAAGAGCATGGCAGCCGGGTCGCTTTTCCTTTTTGCCTCCCTCTTGTGCGCTTGGATTTGTTTTACTGTTGGAATCAGTCGGTAGTCCCAGGAGAGAGCCCTAGCCCTTTTCAGCAGTAGAATCCCCCCAAAAAGTTTACGTTCTGGGCAACTTGGGTAATCTCTGGCTGACAGGGTGGGTTGGAGACATTTGTGCATCCATCTACTTCTCAGTTTTGTCTGAAAGGAAGTATCTAGTGCCAAGTACAATGCCCATTTAGTTTTCCGTAAGGAACTCGAATCTCTTTAGTTTCGTGAACGTGCGGGTTGTGTCATTTAGTGCAAGCATCTCTACTCTGCACGTTTCAGTGTGTAAAACAATAGAAATAGTTTTACTACTTCGTTCAAACTACCAGGTTTGCTTTTTACTCCCCAAATCGAATTTTATATTGTGACCTAAGATGATAAATATCTGATCTCATTTACATTATAACATAACCCATGTTATTGAGACGTCAAAGTTCACAAGTACCCTAGGGATTGAGTGATGAAGGCTGTGGTTTTGCCCATCGTTGATATTTATTTGTTAGCAATGATTTGAAATTCCTGTTTACCACTTTTGGGGGGCGGGGAAGACAGAATCTCAATGGGTACTTTAGACTGTCATAGAAGTTCTCTGTAAACCTGGCTGGTCCCAGAGATCCACTTTTGCTTCCAAAGTGTTGGTATTAAAGTTGTGGGCCACCGTGGCTGCTCCCCTCTTTTTCCAACGTACTAGGATTAGCCTTGGACCTCAGCTACACTGAGTCAGCACTCTTGCATGGGCCACTACTCTGTATCCTCATCCCCCTAGTTACTTTAGGTGGGTGTTTTTTGTTTTTTTGTTTTGTTTTGGTTTTTGGTTTTTCGAGACAGGGTTTCTCTGTAGCTTTGGAGCCTGTCTTGGCACTTGCTTTGTAGATCAGGCTGACCTCGAACTCACAGAGATCCACCTACCTCTGCCTCCCGAGTGCTGGGATTAAAGGCGTATGCCACTACCGCCTGCCACCCTAGTTACTTTATAAACGTCTTCTTTTAAAATGACATTTCGCTAATAAGTTCCAGGCTGGGACTATATCTTGATGTAGCATCTTTGCCTAATATGCAAAAGGTCCTGGGTTGGTTCTCCAGCACCAAACACACAAAAACTGTGGGTTTATTACCTCATAATGCCATTTTTAAAAATACACATATATTTTATTTTTGAGACGGTGTCTAACTATGTAGTCCTTGCTAGCCTGGAACTCAGCTATGTAGACCAGCATGGCTCCCTGCCTCTGCCTCCTGAGTGCTGGGATTAAAGGCGTGCACCACCACACCCAGTGTTATTTCAAATGGAGAGAATCTGTTAGAGATGGTAATACTGCCATATGAGTAGACAGTGGCGTAGAGGCAGGGGTTCTTCCTATATTGTTCACATTCTAAAGAAATTGTGCAGCTCTTAAATACTTAAGGAAAATAAAGATGTGAGTGGAGCTCAGCCTGGTAAGAGGCCTGGTCCTGTCTGTGGTGAGAGAAGTCAGGAGGCTGAGGCAGAAAGATCCTGGAATCCCAGGCCAGTTTGACTGTTCTGGAAGAAGCTGACTCAGAACAGCAATAATAAGAATAAGTGGTGGTTGTGTTGCTTAGTGGTAAGAGTATGCGCCTAGCATTTGTGAAGTACTGGGTTAGGTCCCCAGCAACAAAGAGGTATAGTTGGCGGAGGGTGAGAACGAGTGTGATGAGGAGTGATTAGGAGAGGGAATAGTACTCTTGAACTGGACAGGAAAGATTTTGAGCCGGGCGTGGTGGTGGCACGCACCTTTAATCCCAGTACTCGGGAGGCAGAGGCAGGCGGATCTCTCGGTGAGATTGAGACCAGTCTACAAGAGAGAGTTCCAGGATATGCTCCAAAGCTACAGAGAAACCCTGTCTCAGAAACAGAAAAGATGATTTTTAACTTTTGAAAAAAGTGGACACAGTAGGTACTGTGTAGATGCAGGTGTGGTGAAGACAAAGAAAAGACAGTTGCCACCTTGTGTGACTGACTGGCTTGTTTAGGACTAGAGTTGCAGGGAGTTGTCAGACTGTACAGGCTGCTTACTGTCTGACCCTTGCAGCAGAGAGGTTGCTGGCCCCCTGCAGTGCAGTAGAGTGAGTGCAAGGACACCAGAGCCTGGGACAGTGAAGTGCTGCTTGTTTTTGTTGTGTGTGTATATGTGTGTGTACACGCATGTGTATGCGCACACGCATGTGCAGGTCCCTGCAGAGGTCAGAGCGCTTCCCACCCCCTGGAGTTTAGAGTTACAGATGCTTGTGCGCCAGCTGATAGAAGTTTTGAGAATCAGACTCAGGTCTTCTGCAAGAGCAGTATGTGCCCTTAACTGCTGAGCCACTTCCCCTGCTCCTTACTTTTTTTTTTCTTTTTAATGTATTTTAGATGTAGTTACAAACACTTGGAAGCTGCTGTGTTGGGTGCTAGAATCAGTTCTGGTTCTGGAAGAGCAGTCACTGCTCTTAACTGCTGAGCTGTCTCTCCAGCCCCCAGTGCTTGACCATGTCTCAGCTCATGTTCTCTGTCAATCAGTATTATGTTTGATAAGACCCATTTCCCTAATCTCTGGCCTCTTCTGACCCTTTCTCCCCCTGACTTGTTATTTTCCCTCTTTAAGAATTGCTATTCTTGTTATGCTCCCTCCCTAAAGGGTCCTTGGCCCAGATAGCCAAGCTTTACTGCCTCCTCTCCTCACGACCTTGAAATACAACCTTTTTTCCCCCTCCTCGTTCCCTGCAAACCTTACTCTACTTTATTTCCCCATAGAACTTCCACCTTACACATTGTTTTGTTTTTGCTTTTCTGGTACGTCCACAGCTCCACACCCCTTTTTGGTAGTTGTGGTTGGGACAATCTTGCTCTAGTTCTAACTGACCCAATAGCTCAGTGTAATCTTGACAGACCTTGGTCTCTTAGTAATTCTGCTTCACCTCAAGAGCTAGGATTTCACTCTTGCCCCACAAAGCAAAGCCAGGCTGGTCCTTGTCGCCACCGTTTTCCATGAGGTTAGAATCTTGTTCTGTCTCCAGTACCTAGGAGAGCACTGGATGTAGTGCTCCTTAGTATGGTGTTTGTGAGATGAGTGAGTTAAACTGGTTTTCAGCAACACTCAGTTAACTCTTGTGGACCTCCACCAGTCACCCAGACCAAACACTGTTCACTTGACACATTTTCTGTTGAAGATTGTAGCCACCACTTAGTTTCTTTGAGACAGTTACTCTCCCACTAAGTTTTGTGTAACATCTACTTATCAAAAGAACTGAGCTAGTTTTATCTACAGCGTCTCTGTTCAAACTGAGATTTTTCTTCAAATTTGAGTTCCTGGATATATGCACGCTTAATCCTATGTCATATTTTAAACATCGACTTAAGAATTAGGAACTTTAGGCTAGAGAGATAGCTCAGTGGTTAAGAACACTGGCTGCCTTTGCAAAGGACCTGAGTTTCACTCCTAGCACCTACATGGTGGCTCACAACTATCTATAACTCCTGTTCCAGGGGATCTGGAACTCAGGTACCAGGCGTGCATGTGTGACAAAACACTCATACACACAAATCTAAAATTATTTTTTTAAAGAAACTGAATAATGTTGATGGAGGTAGGGCTCCTCTACTCTATATAGACTCTAGTCTGTAGAGAAATTGTTGTTTCCCAAAGGCCTTACCAAATGAGGCTTTGCATGGTTGCTTAGCTGCTGCTGGTTAAATAAACAACCCAGGTGTTCTATGGAAATTACCTAGATAGAAAAGTTGACACTAGAAGTTCTTGTACTTCAAGACTTTATAACATTTTTTTTTCATTTTTAAAAAGAATGTTTGCAAAAGAATATAAACAGGAAATAATGGTTTTGGTAGAATTTATAGCATCAACTTCTAGAAGTACAAAATTCACCTGGAGCTTTTTTTTTTTTTAATATGACATAGTTAAAACTAGGTGTGGTGACTCATGCCTTTAATACCAGCACTTGGGAGCAGAGGCAGGCAGATCTGAGTTCGAGGCCTTTCTGGTCCTGCTACACAGAGAAACCTTAGGGGGTGGGGGTCTGTGACTAAATTGAATAATGGAGGGAGGGAATAAGAATTGTCAAATCTACCCGACTCTAAATTCTTTTTGTTTGTTTGTTTGTTTGTTTTCTTTTGTTTTTTTTTTTGAGACAGGGTTTCTCTGTAACATTGGAGCCTGTCCTGGAACTTGCTCTGAAGACCAGGCTGGCCTCGAACTCACAGAGCTCCTCCTGTCTCTGCCTCCCGAGTGTTGGGAATAAAGGTGTGCACCACCACTGCCCGGCTTCAGACCTTTAAATTCTAAGTTGTAGAAGATGCAGGTTTCCTAATCCCTAAAGGAATGATACTCTTCTGGGAGATTTACTTTTAAAGAAAATAATTTATCTGAGAAGCAGTTACCACAGTGATCACTAGTAAATAATCCCATAAGTTATTGTTTATATTACCTTTACTCTGCTTTATCTCTTTAAAAATGGTACAAATTATTGAAAAAAAATACTTTTGTAAGAATCATTTTATTTTGTAAATTTAAGAGTTCCAAAGTTCGGAGCTAGAGAGATGGCTCAGTGGTTAAGAACACTAGCTTTTTTCCTTAGGACTTGAGTTAAATCCCCAGCATTCACTGGCAGCTCTCAGCTATCTAACATCAGCTCCAGGGATCCAGTGCCCTCTATGGTCTCAAAGAACACCAGAGACGCACACAGAGCACAGACATACGTGCAGGCAATATTATATACAATAAAAATAAATCCTTATGTGTATAGCCCCTATAGTGACTATTTTTAAATCTTTCTGAAATTCAGAAACTCCAGCTGGTCAAGTTCACAAAGCGTTGTGGTGCCTTCCATTGACAGATAGTCTGCTGGAATCACGACCTCATCTATAAGGAGGGAGAGCCCTGAAATTGAGCACCAAAAACACAGTAAATAGTGATGTGTGGGAAATACCAAATGCAATATTAATCTTTGTGCTTTTGTTACATTTTCAGGAAACTGCTGAAGTTCCTGTGGGATCAAGTAGAATTTTATAAGAACATAATGGGTAAGTTATACAAAGGTAATTTTGTGTTTCAGTTAGTGGGAGCTGATATTTCCTCTCAACTGAAGTAAAGGCACTGTGGGCTTACACATGTACACAGATGAGCATACTTTCACACACCCATATACTATGTATACCAAGGGGTGGCCTTTAAAGTCATTGAATGAAAATAAGAGTGTGGCTAAAGTGAAATTAATGTTTATGTAAACAGTTTCTTATTCTGTCTGAAAGATAATACACAGAAATAATGTTGTGTTAACTAAAATTTGTATTTTTTTTTTATTTTTTTTTTATTTTTTGAGACAGGGTTTCTCCGTAGCTTTTGGTTCCTGTCCTGGAACTAGCTCTTCTAGACCAGGCTGGCCTCGAACTCACAGAGATCCGCCTGCCTCTGCCTCCCTCCCCAGTGCTGGGATTAAAGGCGTGCGCCACCACCGCCCGGCTTAAAATTTGTATTTTTTAAGCACCTTAGTAATACGACTTTTACACTGAGCAGTGGTGGCACATGCCTTTAATCCCAGCATTTCGGAGGCAGGGGCAGACAGATCTCCGAGTTCCTGGCCAGCTTGGTCTACAAAGTAAATTCTAGGACAGCCAGAGATACCCTGTCTCAAAAAAAGAAGAGAAAAGGCAAAACAAAAACAAGCAACAAAAATACCCGTGTTTTTTAACAACAAATATGCAGAATGTTTAGTTGTGTGTGTACTAATGCTATGTCCAGATAAATACCTGCAAAAAAAAAAAAAAAAAAAAAAACGGGTTTGGTTCATAATAGAGTGTGTGCTATGGCAGAGCTGCTCAGCTGGTGGCTGCAGGGAGCAGAGCGGAAGTGAAGGATAGAATAGAGCTCCCAAGTGCATTCTTGCTCCCTACATCTTCCTCAGCACCACCACCTTCCAGTAGTCTCGGGGCTCAGTGGCTTAAGTTCTTCATCAGAGCGGAGCTCCTCAGTCCATCTGGGGCCAGCATTCTCACAGATACCCTAAAAAGGGGGCTTCACTAGGCATATCTCAGGCCAGTCAAGTTGACGATCAAAATCAGGCAACACAGCATGCAAAAAACATTAGACACATAAAGTGAACTTGTTAGTGGGTGGGTTATGTTTTTACTGGGTAACCCAGGCTAGCCTCAATCTTCATCAGTCCTGTGTCAGCTTTTTTAAAAATCTGATTCCCTGGAACTGGAGTTACAGACAGGTGGTTATGGGTGCTGGGGATCAAACCCAGGTCTTCTGAAAGAGCATCTTTCTAGCCTCTGCATCAGCCTTCTTTGAGTATTAGAATTAGAGGCAGGAGCCATTCTGCCTAGCTTCAGTTCAAAATAATGCTAACACTTTCTTTCGGGTGTGTCCCTCCCCCCCACTCCCTCTGAGACGGGGTTTCTCTGTGTAACCCTGACTCCTGGAAGTAATTCTGTAGACCAGGCTGGCCTCAAATAATCTATTTTAGTCAGGTGGTGGCGCACACCTTTAATCCAAGCACTCGGGAGGCAGAGGCAGATGGATATCTGTAAGTTCCGGGCCAGCCTGGTCTATAAGGGCTAGTTCCAGGACAGGCTCTAAAGCTACAGAGAAACCCTGTCTCGGGAAAGAAAACAAATAATGTAATTTAGAAATTGATCTTATATCCCCATGTTACTGTAAAAAAAAAATGACAATAGTTACAGTGTCAAAGTTTCATCAGGCTAGAAGGGTAGCTGATAGGTAAAGGGTTTGGTTTGTAAGCATCAGGACCCGAATTTTAATTCCAGACCCCATGTAAAAAGCCAGGCACAGTAGCACACATTGTAATCCCACTTCTTGGAGCAGGAAGGGAGGTGGAGACAGTATCTTTGGAAATGATGAACATGGGAAATACCCTCTCAGTGAAGGCTGGGGGCCTCCAGCTAAGGTTATCCTCAGACCTCCAGTGACTCAAACAATTATACACATACAGTTTGTAAAATTTTTGGGGGGGTTGTCAATATGTTTATATACTTCATAATATTATAGGTATGGCTTGTATCCCCTGGCTTTTTACTGTATTCACATTTCCCAGATGTTTTCATAGTGTTCTTCATAGCAGGTTTATTTTTCTAAAATTTGAATTTAAGTATCATTTATTATTTTAACTTGTGTCTTTAACGTCCTTCAACAGTTTCCCATTTTTTTTAGGAATGGAGAGAAGTGCTTTTATCTTGTTTATTTGAAAGCTAGCTACTTGTTTTAAGGACTGAAATTGGTCTTGTGACAAAACATCTTTGACAGCAATAGGGATTTAATGCTAATCTTCTTTTAGGAATTTCTGAGCTGTTTGTGGCTAAACAGAACATCTTCATCCTTCTACTCTATATGGTTCCCTAAATTTTAGAATAAGATTTAAGATGCTGTTTTAGTTCCGGTTCTGTTGCTGTTGAGAGACACCATGACCGTGACAACTCTAAAGGAAAGCATCTTATTGTGGCTGGTTAGAATCCAGGTTCAGTCCATTATCATCATGGCAGGAAGCATGGCAGTGTGTAGGCAGACATGGTGCTGAAGAATTTGCTGAGTTCTGCATTTGGTCTGCAGGCAGCAGCAAGATACTGTGAGCCAGTAAACCTGGCTTGAGCTTCTGAGACTTCAAAGCCACCCCTCCACCCCACAGTGACACACTTCTTCCAACAAAGCATGCCTTTTAATAGTGCCAGTACCGATGGGTCAGTGGTAACCATAAAAATGTGAGAAAAGACCTTTAAAAGTATATATCTCAATTATAATTATTATTAGTTGTTATTTGCTTATTTTGTCCTGAGCAGAAAACTAGTGAAACCAGCACAGTGACAAGAGTCAGTGGTAGCTACACACACTCCGCACCGCTCTTTCTTTTTTTTTTTTTTTTTTTTTGTTCCTCTCTTTTCCATTTTCGAGACAGGGTTTCTCTGTGGCATATATGCGAAGAACATGTTCTACTGCTAAGCAGAGTCCCAGACAATCTGTTTATTTTTAATATATGATTAAAACTTATTTTACTGCTTTATTTCAGATGGAGAAGAGAAAACCTATGGTGGCTGTGAAGGCCCTGACGCCATGTACGTCAAGTTAATATCTTCTGATGGCCATGAATTTATTGTAAAAAGAGAACATGCATTAACATCAGGAACAATAAAGGCCATGTTGAGTGGACCAGGTAGGTAATAGCGTCTTTTCCTTTATATATCCTTTTAACGTTTAATAAGTATTTTTCCCAGCTGGGTGGTGGCGCACGCCTTTAATCCCAACACTTGGGAGGCAGAGGCAGGCGGATCTCTGTGAGTTCGAGGCCAGCCTGGTCTACAAGAGCTAGTTCCAGGACAGGAACCAAAGCTACAGAGAACCCTGTCTCGAAAAACCAAAAAAAGTAGCTTGTATTTGTTGTGATAAAAAGTTTATTCGTAGAAGTTACCACCCCCTGACACACCTCCCTCTCTCCTCCACTAACTGCTTTGTGCCATTTCATTTCGGTTTTTGATTTGAGTCAAGATATTAACTATGGGGGCTGGAGAGATGACTCAACAGTAAAGAGCACTGGCTGCTCTTCCAGAGGACCCAGGTTCAATTCCCAGCACTCACATGGCAGCTCACAACTGTCTGTAACTCCAGATCCAGGGAATCTGGCACCCTTACACCAATGCAGATAAAATAAAATAAATTATTAAAAAAAAAATCTTAATTCTGTAGTGCATGCAGCAGAGCTGGCTTCAGACCCTCATCTTCCCGTGTACTGGGATTGTAGACCTCTAACCACTCCTGGCTCTGATCGTTTAGCATTGTTTTTCCTTTGAGTAAGTATTTTCTAACTTCTAGAGTTCAAAGCATACAAATGCAGCAGCAATTATTACTTCTACAGTATGAACAACCATCACAAAGATGTAGTTCCAAAATCTCCAAAAGGAAACCCTATATCCTCTCAGCTTTATCTGTGTCCAGTCTGCTTTCTGTTTCCCTTATCTGGAATCCATGCAGTATTTGACCTTCTATGTCTTTCAAAGTACATTCCTATGGTAGAGTCACCTAGTACTAGGAGTGTGCTATATTGTGTTCATCTGCTCAGCACAGTTGAACTGAATGGTGCTGTTGTTGTGGGCACAAGTATATATAAGTGTTTGTTTACCGCACCAGCTTTTGGGTCTTTTGCTTGTGGGACTATTTGGTCATAGGTCATTGTGTTTTGGAGGAGCCACCAGTGTTTCTTTACTTACATATTTATGTGTATCTGTGTGTATGTATCTGTATGAGTTTATGTGTATTGCATGCAATAGTTTGTGGAGCCAGAAGAGGGCATCAGATCCCCTAGAACCAGAATCGCAGGTGGTTGTCCCAGTGGGTGCTGGGAACTAAATCCAAATCCTCTCTAAGAGCCACCTCCCTGTTGATAGCTGTTGTGCTGACTGTGAAGTGCTACTTCAGTATAGTTTTTATAGTATTTCCTTGCTGAGTTTGAACACCAATCCATGTATTTGCTGGCCATTTGCATATCTTTTTTTTTTTTTATTCACTGGTCAATAGTGGCACACTCCTTTAATCCCAATACTCAGGAGGCAGAGGAGGCATATATCTGTGAGAGTTCAAGACAGCCTCAACTACAGAACTAGTCCAGGATAAGCCAAGGCTACACAAAGAAACCCTGTCTCAGAAAACAAAAAAGAAACAAATTAAGATTCTTGGAAACATGATCTTCCTGCCTCCACACATTTTAACTTAGCACCCAGGAGGCAGAGGCAGGCAGATCTCTGTCCAGGACAGCCAGAATAACACAGTAAGACATCCACAGGTGGAGAGGAATAAAGTGCTTCATTTGCTTTGTGTAATGAAGGTTTTGGAACTCGACAAAGGGAGACTTGCACAATTATGCTATTAAACTGTAATCTTTAAAATAGTTGAGTGTATATGATTTTCACCTTTAAAAAAACCCATCTCTAGTGTCATAAAGGCTGTTGTGTTTCCTACATATATTCTAGAAAAGGGGTTTTAACTACTAGCCAAACAAAATTCACTTTCAACCTCAGAGTTGTACTTGTTTTTTATCCTACCCTACTCCTAACTAATGGCAATTGGAACTTTTAAATGCTGCACGCCTTTAATCCCAGCACTCAGGAGGCAGGTGAATCTCCGAGTTCCAGGACAGCCAGTGTTACATAGAGAGACCCTGTCTCAAAAAACCAAATTATAATGTAAAATAATGCATTCTTTAAAAATATTTCTGGATGTGAAATGCCCTTTGTATTTAGCATATACATACAACTTAATGTTGCACATCTGAAAGAATTCTGCGGGCAGCAAGTAAGTGGTGCAGACCTTTAATCCCAGCACTCAGGAGGCAGGCAGATCTCTGAGTTTGAGGCCAGCCTGATCTACAGAATGAGTTCAGGACAGCCAGGGCTACTTTAAAAAAAAAAAAAGAACATTGTCCCTGTGATATATAAATAACATTTATATGGGCAAGACATTTTGAGGCACGACTGGAAACTGCTTCATATAGCATTAGTTCAGAAGGAAGTGTCTTACAAGAACATCCCATTACTATGAATTGTTTGCATTTGTTTTTTGAGCCTATATTTAGCTAAACAGCCAGCCTCTTGAGTGTTGAAGTTGTATGCATGTGCATGCATGCATCAAGCCTTTAGATACTGTTAAAAATTTTAAAGTGTTCTGTCTACGGAGAAATCAGACTATCTTTTGCTAATGACAGTCTGTCTTTAAGATTTGTTAGTTTACTGCCTACTAAAGCCATGTGCCCATGGCTTGGGTGCAGTTCTGCAGTCTTTCACAGTAAAGAGTTGTTAGTGCTGATTATTCTCCGCACTTGTCTTCACGTGTGCTTCTCTGTGTGTCTTGGAGTTCTTTCTATCTGTATGTGTCTGTTCTCTTCTGGTGAAAATGCCAGTTGTACTGTGTCCGGTCCTCGAGACCTTGTGTAACGTGATTTAGCTGAACGACACTACCCAAGTACAGTCACATTCTGCGATGGTTGGACAGGAGGTACTGCAGTCCATAACATGCATAACCCTTTTGTTTTGCAGGTCAGTTTGCCGAAAATGAAACCAATGAGGTCAATTTTAGAGAGATCCCTTCGCACGTGCTCTCAAAAGTGTGCATGTACTTTACCTACAAGGTCCGCTACACTAACAGCTCCACCGAGATTCCTGAATTCCCAATTGCACCTGAAATAGCTCTGGAACTTCTCATGGCTGCGAACTTCCTAGATTGTTAAATAAAATAAATTATAATAAACTGTTAATTTTTCAGTATTTAATACCTGTAGTTCAGTTAGTAATTTTTTCACATATAGCATGTTGCCTGTATGAACTCTAAAGTTAATTGCTGAGCAGATTCCTTCTGTCATTTGCATAGCAGAGTTGAAATTTGTTTGCTACATCAACAAATTAAGGACGTTACAAGCCAAGAAATAAACAAATAATGCCAGTTTGTAGGTGGTTTGCTTTCTCCTTTGAATGTGACCTTTGAAATAATAAGTAATATAGCAAATCCTGGAATGTACGCGTAAATGAACATATTCTACAGGTAAATACAGGGGCTAAGTATTTTTATGTTTTTAGTGTTTTTTTAAGAACCAGTTCTGATCTTAATCCACTGGGCATTACTAGAGTTATGCAAATAATTACATGAGAAAAACATGTTTATAACTTAGCCAAACCTTGATTTTTGTAACTCAAAGAATAAGAGTTGAAATTTCTTATGTGTTTTTTGATAAACTGCAGTATTGTTTAATTGCATCTTGTGTTTTGTTTATTGCTACAATTTAAGAATTTTATTTAAAAGCAGTTTTGGAAGATTACCAGGTACACCTTTTGGATTAATAGTAACCATTTGAACTGTAGCCATCTAGTCAAGTAAATGAGAGTCGCTGTGCGTTTCGAACAGTCCAAAGCATGGTTTTCACTGGCCTCCAGGACCGCTTGCCTTTTCATTCTTCATGGTCCCTTGTATCCTGCAGCACTTCATGAACTTGATCTAAACTCAGAGTCTGGGTATTCTGAGCTTATCCAGTCTTCCTGCGTTACTGGAATGCTGTAAAGTAAGCAGCAAGGATGTGGTGTGACCCTGTGGTTGACTTAGATAGCTACCCTCCACTAGCGAGTGTTCCGTCAGCCATGCTAAAGCTGTGGCTCTCCTGAAGACAGTCATTCATCTTTTATACTAAACAGACCAAACATCTGAAAACGCTGAGTGTTCTCACTGAAGTGAGCATGATGGCCAGCTGTAGTAGAACAAGCTGTCACTGAGGTTTGTCGTTGCGGGCCTTAACTTCCTAGGACTGGTTTAACACACAACAGTTTTTTCTGGAAGTTACAGAAATCATAAACGTAACCTCCTTTAAATGAAAAAAAAAAAAAAAAGCCTACACATTGAGCTTTGCAGCGCATTGGAAATGGTTAAATGTGACTCGGTCATCTTTAGTAATGTTTCAAGGCAGCCGGGCACATAGAGGGATGGAGGCACAGGAATTGTGTTCTGGGCTGGGAGTGCCACCATGACAAGGCTCTCCAGTCAATCTCTAACGTGGCTTTGTTCTTTGAATCACATAGCTGCAATCAAAGGCCAGAAGATGGATTTATGGCAGTAGCTAGAAATAAAATTGAGCTTGGACTGGTATTTGTGGGTTACTCTGTGTGTTAGGTCCAGAAGTAACCTTAATTTCAGGGCATCAAAATTTCAACACACTAGGCCAATTTGAATATGGTTCAGCAAATGGTGCTTTGTGTTAATAAAGGCTGTATTGACTGAAAAGGTATGATGAACACGCGTTTACTCTCTTTAGCTTTGTCTCCTGCACATGAAAGACAACTCTCGGGATAATCTTGTTATGTATTCAATTGTTTGGTTCAATTTAAGATAGTTTTATATAACATCAAAATGTTAGTAGTTTTTCTGGTACTTAGTAATTACACTTTTCAAGTTATGTGTAAACTTTCCAATATTTTTTTCTATGTAGAAAATACTGTAAAGTTACAGTTTATATATTTATTCTGGAGGTGTAGGTTAGTGAGCCTGACATTAAAAGCCCCTCAGTTCAGTCCCCACGGCTGGAAAAAGTTTTTTGCCTTGATTGGGTTATGCTTTTTAAATTGCATGTTTTTTTTTTTTGTAGTTTTCAATAGTTCCCTTTTCTAGGTTCTTCTTGAGCTCGTGTGTGTGTGTGTGTGTGTGTGTGTGTGTGTGTGTGTGTGTGTGTATTAGTGGTAGATCGTTATTACTTCAAAGAGTGGATATATGTTGAGTGAGATTAAATTCCTGTCAAAGACTTGTTGTGTTTCAGTCAAGTAATTCCTGTTTAAAAATGCAAATTTTATACAAATGAATAGGGTTTGAATGGATCCTCATTTAGCAGTGTGAAATGTGAAGTAGGGGGCTAGAGAGGCTCAGCAGTTCACACACCAGCTCTCATAGAGGACGGACACCATGCGGGTCACAGCTACCTGTAGCTCCAGGTCCAAGGATTCTGACCTCCTCGGCTTTCCACTCGGCACCTGCATAAACATGGTGCAAGGACGCAAAGAAAAAAACTAAGTTGTCTTTGTTGATTTTATTTAACAAACACTTCAGCTCTGGTACTCAAGATGCCACTGAGTTACTTGCTGTAAATCTGGGGTAATGCTAAACTGATCATTTGTGTTAGGATTCTATCTTCCTGTTGTAAGACTTTAAGACAATCCTGAAGCCATTTTTGACAATTCTGAATCCTCTCAGCCTCTGTGCCATAGTGCTTCCCCTCCTCCCCTGGGAACCAAGGACCTAACAGCTACACTCGCACTTACTCAGTTCCTGAACAATTACCCATATACGTATGCTTTGGTTCGGTCCCCTGGGAAACGGGGTCAAAATGACCTCTTACCTCATCTGATCTGGCAACAGCTCTCCAGTCAATTATTGGTAATAGCCCTTTCGAATAAGCCAATCAGAATAGTCAAAGAATAACCCCCCTTGCTTCTGTGGCCCCTTTAAAAGTAGACTGTACCAGCTATTCGAGGTCCCTCGGTTTCCCGAATGCTGGGGGACCCTGTCATGACAGAATTAATAAAATCTTCATGCTTTTGCATCGGCTGTAGTGTGTGAGATGGTCTCTGGGGGCGACTCCTCGGTGTTTGGACGCTAGAATCCAACACTTAGTCTAAAACTATTTTGGTGATATGGCACCCACCTGAGAGTTTAGAAGCCTGTGTCTTGTGTTGATGCATGCAAACTTGCACAAGCCCATGCTTCTCCATTATTTACAAATTTGCGGGGGTTGTCTAACAGATGTGTGTGTGTGTGTGTGTGTGTGTTTAAAATATATGTGTGTTCTGCTACCTTGTATATATGTGCACTACATATGTACCTGGTACCCGAGTTTAACAGAGGATATCAGAGCCCCTAGAACTGCCGTTATGGATGGTTGGAAACCTCAGTATGGGTGCTGGGAATGGAACCTGGATCCTCTCCAAGAGCATCCCATGCTCTTTACCACTGAGCTGTCTTTCCAGCCCCCAATGTGTGCTGTACGACTAAACTATATCTTTACCACCAGCCTCATTTTTTCTTAGAGGAAACAGGCTCTAAGCTCTTCAGGCTCTCTTGACACTCCTTCGCCCTGTCTCAAGACTTCCAAGGAGCTGAGGCTGCAGGTGTGCACCACTGCGCCCAGCCCTGCCACCCTTCTCTAGTGAAGGAGATTATGTGCAGTTATTACCCAAGACTAGCATAATAGGTAGCAAGAGCTGTCAACTAGACAGAAAATATTGCTGTTGGTTTTGGTGGGGTTTTTTTGTTGTCCCTTTTCCTAGATTAGGTATTAAATGTTACATAGCCATACTGCATAAGGGTTGTTTGTTTTGTAGTGCTGGAGGTTGGACTCAGGGCTGCTGGCAACGTCTTTGTGGTAGGTTTTTTATTGCCCACTATATAGACACACTGTCCTTTTCTAGCTCTGGTTCTCAGTAACTGAATGCAAAGGGGAATTTTTATTCTGTGATTTTATACCAGTATGTTTAACATGAGGTCAAATGAATTTACTTTTAATACATATACTAATTTTTCCCAAGTTAACATACCTGACTTCTTCACTTATATCTAGTTAAGAACAAAAGGCCAGGTTTTTTGTTTTTGCCTAGGAAAACCCAATTTTAATGTTCTGTAAAAATGTCAGTTTGTCCACATTCTCTGGTTTGAGTTCCTTCCTGTACCCCTTTCTGCCTGTGCTGCTTGGAGCAAGCCCAGTGCTTTGTACTTAGTAGGCAAGCGCTCTGCCACTGCACAGCATCCCCAATGTTTTATGTTAAAGTCGCGTATTTATCATGGTATATAAGAGGGTGTGGAGGCGACGGGGCAGCATGGTGGAGTTGGTTCTTCCTTCATTGCGTGGGTTATGGAAGTCGAACTCAGGTTGCCAGGCTTGCAGGGCAGATCATTTATTTGAGCCATCTTACTGACTGCCAGTTATGTTTGTTGTTCTCTTTCTTAGACTTACTTTCTTATTTGTGTGTATGTATCTGCCGTGTATGTACAAGGGTGTCAAATTCCCTGGGGCTGGAACTACAGGTGACTGTAAACTGCCCATGTGGGTATGAGAAACAAACTTGGATCGTCCTCTGGAAGGGCGGTAAGATCCCTGATAGGCCGTCTCTCCAGCTCGCATTAACGTGTTTCTAAGTAGCTGAAGTGATGGGAAATGCCTTTCCTTGAATTTTGCAGTAGTCAAATATATATAAAATCTAAACTTAGCAATTAAAGGTGAGGCTGGATCCGTCTGGCACATAGCCAGTGTTATCAACATAGTTCCTCCTTGTGTGACATTTCCGGGGAAGTGTGAGCAAACATCCACTCACCCCTGATAAGGAAGCAATGACAGAGGAGGGGCAGGTGCCACCAGTATCCATTCTGGCAAACTGTTAAGTTATTGAAGTAAGTTGCAGGAACATGAGTGAGGGGTTCTCATCACCTCTCTAGCATGGGTGACAACAGTTCATGAAAGCGGGAAACGTGGAGCACACTGCAGAACCTGTAGGAAGTTCAGCAGGCTGGAGAGTGCCCCGTGCAGCTCAGCTGCATCTACGCAGCCTGCCTTGTCTCGAGCATGTCTAATGCTTGTATATGCCTGGGAACGGATGCCTGGGAAGGGGTGAATCTCATCAATTTTAGGGACTTCCTGATGTCTCTTAAGCTTCCTGTAGGATGAAGGAATATTTCACCTCCTCTTAGAACATCTTGTTCAATCTCCTTGTAAATACCCTGTGAGCTTCCCTCCAAAATAAATTTTTTCTTTATCTCAGAGGATATTTCTAAACAACATTAATGAAGCCAGAAACCTAGTGCAAGAACATGCCATAACACAGAACCAAATTTAGAATTGCAGGCCCAACCCCGGAAATAAAAGCAATCAGATTTAATATGGTTTTGTGGAAACATTGGCTGATGGGCCTTAAAAGTTTTTGCCTTGGAGAGAAGTGAATACATTCTACAGCCCAGGCTGACTTTGAACTTGGCTTGATCATCCTGTTTTAGCCACAACACCCAGCTCAAATGCTTTATGAAACTTGTCTTACAATGCAGAATTTAAGGTTTGTTATTTTTGCCTACAGTAGATAGGGTTTAATTACATTCTCTGCTTAAAGTATATTGAACTGTTTGTTTGCTTGTTTTTATCACATATAAAGACTTCCTACTATGGACATAAAATTACTGCTTTTAACACGAGAGTCCATTTCTTTTTTTTAACAATTTATTTTTATTTTATTTGCATTGGTGTTTTGCCTGCATGTATGTCTATCTGAGGGTGTCAGATCTTGGAGTTACCGACAGCTGTTGACTGCCATGTGGGTGGTAGGAATTGAACCTGGGTCCTCTGGAAGAGCAGTCAGCACTCCCAACCACAGAGCCATCTCTCCAGCCCCCACGAGAGTCCATTTCTAAAATTGTTTAGTTACATGCTTAAGGAATGGCTGTACTAGAGTCAAAGGGATTAAAACTAATGAAACACTACAATTTCAAATTTTTGTTTTTGAACATAGTTTTCATAATGGTGATTTGGTGCTATGTATACCTTAAGAATTGGAAATAGATATGTTTGGTTTTGAGGTAGTTTTTCTATCTTCTTCCCTAGTATTTAGCACAGAGGCAAGCATTCAATGTGTTTGTTTAATTGAATTTATAGACATGCAAAGGCAGTATGCAAGAAGGTACACAAATTACTCCAATACACACGAAACCATATTAACGTCATTAGTCATACGGAAATGCTAATAAAAATACAGAGTTCCCATTTATAGCTACTGGGATAACAATGTTCAGGATATGTTAAAATTGAAATCCTTAAAATTGTGACTGCTGTGGTAACTAGCGCCTGTAACCCCAACACTTAGGGGCTAAGGGAGGAGAGCAGCTGTGTATTCCAGATCAACTGGGGCTCCAGAGAGTTCCAGGCCAGCCTGGCAGCAGTGAGCTCTTCCTCTTTTTAATTTGTTTTTAGGTTTGTTTGTTTGTTTGTTTGGGCTTTTTCGTTGTTGTTTTTTGAGACAGGGTTTCTTTGTGTAGCTCTGGCTGTTCTGGACCAGCTCTGTTTACCAGGCTGGCTTCAAACCCACAGAGATCCCCTGTCTTTGCCTCCTGAGTGCTGGGATTAAAGGTGTGCGCCCCACCTGGCCTGTTTTTAGCTTTTAAAGAATGTGTGAAGGGAATGTAGATCAGAATCCAGTGGCCTACAGAGGCCAGATGAAGATGCCAGAGTTACAGGTGACTGGGCTGCCTGAAGCGGGTTCTGAAAACTGGACCATCTAGTTAGGAAAGGCAACCAGGAGCAACGGTGTCTTTTGGGGGACTTTGGGGACTCCTTGACCAAAGCCTGGCACTGAGATTTTCACGTAATAGCCTATGCTTTCTATGGGAAATATTGTCTATCCATGCTGAATACCTGTATACTTTTTTAAATTATAGTTCTAAATTAGTTTACAAATGAGTGAGTTTCCAGTAAGGTTTCTCTTACATCCTGGGCTTTGGCTAGCCCAGTCCCACCTCTTCCTCTGTTCTCCCACCCACTTCTTGTCTTTATCTGCTAAAGCTTTAATTCTCAGTAGCCCCCTCTGCTTTCCCATTGTGTGTTTTAACCTCTCCTCACCCCAGTAGTGCCTCATCTCCCCCGTCATGGCTTCTCTCTAGCTTCCTGACCTCTACAGACACGCCAGACTAAACATACAAACTCTGAAATTCAAAGCTAGGATCTATATCTGGGTGAGAACATGAAACCTCGTCTTGCAGAGCGTAAGACTTAGTATTTTCCATTTTCATCTGTTTTCCTGCAAATTGTTTCGTTGTTCTTTACAACTAGATAAAATCCCATTCTCTGTGTGTGTCACTTTCGTTACCCGCTGCACTGCTCAGTGGGTGGACATTAGGCTGATGCTATTTCCACCTCTCATGAATAAAGCCGCAGTGAACCTGGTTGTGCAAGTGTCTCTGTGGGAGCATATAGAATCCTTTGGGTATCTGCCCAGGAGAG